ATAAAGTGTTGTGTGTAGAGTTCCTAGTTTTATTATAAAGTGTTGTGTGTAGAGTTCCTAGTTTTACTACAGAATGCTATGTGTAGAATTCGTAGTTTGATTATGGTGTTGTGTTAAGAATTCCTAGTTTTATAATCGTGTTAAGGGAGAGTTCATAGTTTAATTACTTTATAATTCCTTAGTTTTAAGAAGAACACCACATATCATTACCTGAACGTTACACTTGCCTGATTCTAATGAACTCGTTATGGTGAAGTTTTGTAAAAACACTAGTTCTTTGACTTTTACGTCATCGCTTGTCTATTCAGAATAACTTTCGTAAGAGTTCCGGGAGATTTGACATTAGCCGTTTTCTTCAAACCAGGTATATACGGTAAGTTTAAAGGTACTTGCTTAAATGCTATCAAATCCACCTCTGTAATTAAATGTCTTAAAAGACATTACAGAGCATCTACATTTAGTACAATTACTTTAAGAACCTCATTAAATTTGTAAGTTAGTTTCTTCTAACGAGAACGTAATATTATTATAATGCAGCTTTTAGTATTGAAACACGAATTAAAAACCAAGAATTAAGACAGTTCTCTAATTCAGTCCCTAATACGATTCGACTGGGCAAAGAAATTACGTTTATTCATATAATTAATTTTCGTTTTATGCGATCGATCCTTGTATTCGGATTCACATTTTGAGTGTGGATAAAATTAACGTACAAACATCATGCACAAAATAAAAAACTAAAGCATTAAAATATATCTAAAAGGCTATGTGTAAGCATACAATTGTAAGAGATTCGAGTCTTTATATCATAACTAACTAGATGAATTGCTTTTTATAGGTACGCTCATCAGGTACAATGAATGCAAAAAGATTTGTTTGAGTCATTAAGTTGACATGCTTTATTTGCTGTAAAAGTTTAATATTGATGATCGCAACTCTTCTATCAAGCACGAGCTTGTTATTTTAAATGCAACCTACTTTGTTACTTTGAATTTACTGAATTAACCATCGATACAGCTATTAGACATCATTAA